GCTCACGACGCTCACCCATAGGCATCCATTGAGGTGCCTGAGTGTTTCCGGATACAGATTGCATGCTTATCTATTCCTGTACCTGAGACAGTGACCAGCGGGTCTTGAGTATCAGGTTTCATGTGAAATGAATGAAAGGATGGATGTACCCAGCTCACTGGATGTGCTCTTCTGGCTGGCGTGGCTTCAGAATAGGATGAAATGACAGACCTTCCTGCTGCAGCTACACCAAGTACCTGTTATGAGTCATGGATGTTTTCACAGTTACCTCCGTCTTGTCATTTTACCGACATGCCCAAGTTGATGTTTTAGCTTTCTTTTCCATACATTAATTCTAATGGGAGGTTAATGGTCACTTGTACATGTGTTTTGTACGAGTGACTTGTACAAGTTTTAGTTTTCCACGGTCAAGTTTAGAGCCGGTGAGGCCAAGGGTGAGGGTGGAACAAAAGGCACTGGAGCTGGCACGTGGCCTTACTGAGTATTGAAATGGATGAGCGAGGAAGTGAATGAGGAAAGTGCTCCTAGAGGAGCCTCTGTAGAAAGTTAGAAGGCGGCAGAGGGGAGGGGCTTCTTCCTTGGTCGGTTTCTCAAGACGCTCTCTGAGTGGAAGGCAGGAGTGGACAGTGAAGCCACGGGGGCTCTGCACCGGGAGGCCTGCTCTCTGTCTGCCCCGTCGGCACCCCAGAGAGCCCTGCTCTTGTTGCCTGAGCAGGTGTTTCCCTCTGGGTGCTGGTCCTTTAGTTTGAAAGATAGCTGCACCCTGCTGTTCCTGGGTGATTTCCTGACTGTGTGCTTCCCTTTGGTTTGGGTTTGCTCATCCTTGAAATGGACAGTAGCCTTCCATAAGGACGACCTTACTTTCGATGTGACGTGGATGTGCTACAAGGGGCGCGCATTTGTTTTTCCACCTTGCGGAGCTGTCCTTGACTCAGGGAGCGGCCTCAGTGTGTAGAAGTTTACATCTCGGTGTGGTTGGTGAGTGATAGAGTCACAGCTGATTTTCAGGCAGGGAGAGTTCTTAGCGTTGCTCTTTAAATGTGCCCGTGCGCGCTAAGGGCATCTTTCTAGGGACAGAGTCCGTCCAAAGCTTTCTTCAAATCTTCAAGGAGGTCCGTGATCCCTAAAGGATTCCCCCACTGGAATCAGAGGTTCTGGTGGATTAACACTCTTTTTTTTCCCCCCCCCCCCCCCTCA